GTCTAATTTTATTGTAACCTACCATTCATCGGCTCTGGCCTTGCGTATTACATTTTTTACTGGGTATCGTAATTGCACCACCCACAAACTTTCCAAACTGTGATTAAAGCTGCAGCATATAGTGAAAATGCATTTGCACAATGTGAAATAGTCACACAACACATTTCCTCATCATTTGGCTGGGGTCCCATCTGGTTAGCTGCATTACCTGATAAAGACTAGGGATGAGTTTTGAATAAAAAGTAAATATTTTGAGTTCTTGAATTAATACGGAAAATTTCTGATCTTTTTAGGATTTACAGATCGTTTACATTGATAAATGTTTATGTGTTCACAAAAGTGGCATCAATTGATGCCATTTGACACCATTTCCGGAAGGCAAATGGTGGAAGTGACATAATATTAGTGATGTAATTTTTATTCTCAGAATAATCTGTAATAAAAATTCGGGTCACCTAAAAATGTCATAACTAGGCCTGATTTATTTTTGTTCAGATTAATACTTAAGTCACAAGCCCATCGCTCGTAGAGACAAGTCGACAGGGTTGTGGAATGTCCAACTTGGTCTTTGCCTTCAGACTGTTGAGTTTTAACTTGTCTGTCAGAACCTACCATGAGATGAGTGCGTAGACCTATGGCTCATTTGTTCATATAGACGCCGAAGTTTAAACAATATTTTTGTGCAAAGAGCACAGCTATGTTGTGCATATATATACAGTAATTATAGTATTGCTTTGCGCTAATTTATCCACGTAATATAATGTACTAGCGAGAAGTACCCGGCGTTGCCCAGGCGAAAAAGACACACACACATCGACTTACACACAGACATCGACCCACACACACAAACACATCGACTTCCACATACACATGGACTCAAACACACAGACATCTACTTACACACACACACATGGAGTAATACACAGACATCGACTTTAGACACACACATGGAGTTACACAAACACATCGACTCACACACACACAACAACCGCCATTCGCCACTAACTGGTGGTGATGTCACCACGACGCTTGTGCCAGGCTATGTGCACCTTGAGGCCACGTGAAGTGTCGAACGCCCGCTGGCAGGTCACGGAGCAGACCCAGATGGCACAGGTCGATTGACTGAGACGACTGGCTGATGCACCACCTGTGCCCCCTACTGTGCCAACTTGCTGTGCTTTAGCCACCCGGCGCTCCGCTCGTTGTTGTGAGCATCGCTCCTCCGCCCTCTGTTGTTGTTTGAGGGCAACTGCCTCCAACTGCCCAGTAGCGTCCTTCACGAGCCTCATTGACAGATGCCGATCTTGACACCGCTGGTACCAGTCATCGGCAAGTCCACTCAGCTCCACGTCCTCCTGTACCACATCACTCCATCTCTTCTCTAGCCCATGCCGCGCCCGTTTAGCCCCCTCGATTTGGCCGAACAAAAGCTGATTAGGCATGCAGTGGCTGGGCATGCGGGCTACATGACACAGTCAACGCAGCCTTGCCTGCCGGAGGAGCTCACCGATGGGACTTTGTCCACATCTTTCAAGGATTTGTGAGCTCCTCACACAATCCAGCCTTGTTAAACCCAGGATGGATCGTAGGCAGGCCAGCCTAAATGTTTTTAACCGGTGAAGATGTTCCATTAGGGGGGGTCCACGTTTCTCAAGCGTAGAAAAGGGAGGGAATGACCGTGGCCGAGAAGACCTGAAGCTTCGTGCGGAGTGATAAGCCAGGTAGCTTCCACACAGCGTTACGCAACTGATAATGCTGCTCGACTGATTCGGAGTGAGACCTCTGCTGTTAAACCGGAGCCGGTCATGAGCACACTGCCAAGGTATGGGAAACTCTCCACTCTCTCCACAACTGCCCTATCACCAATTGGGAGTTGTGGGGGTGGAGTGTCTGATGGTACAAAATACCCAGGCAGGTGCTTAGTTTTGGTGAGGTTGATGGTAAGGCCCCACCTCTTGGTGGCAAGCTCCATGTTCAGCAGCAGCGCCTCCAACTCCTCCTCTGAGTGAGCACCAAGCTGCTTGGCAATGGTCTTGTAGCCCATTCCAGCCTTGTGTAGGTCTACAATCTTGTCCCTGACATCCTTGGAGAGCTCTTTGGTCTTGGCCATGGTGGAGAGTTTGGAATCTGATTGATTGATTGCTTCTGTGGACAGGTGCTCCTACTCTCAGCTCGTTACCTATGTAAAAGACACCTGGGAGCCAGAAATCTTTCCGATTGAGAGGGGGTCAAATACTTATTTCCCTCATTAAAATGCCATTCAATTTATAACATTTTTGACATGCGTTTTTCTGGATTTTTTTGTTGTTATTCTGTCTCTCACTGTTCAAATAAACCTACCATTAAAATTATAGACTGATCATTTCTTTGTCAGTGGGCAAACGTACAAAATCAGCAGGGGATCAAATACTTTTTTCCCTCACTGTAAAGGTATTGTTGACCAAAGTCTTATGTAAATATTGATTCAGTAGCAAGGTGTGTGCACACCTGCTGCTGAAAAATCTTAAATGCCTGCTACCGAAATATTCTGTTAAATAAACACAATTCAAGGAAGCCATCTGTTTTTACAAATGTCCTTAAAATGTACTCTTTAAACTTAGGAAGTCTTTAGATTTTCACGTGATAAATCACAGAATGTATAATCCCCGTGCGCCCAAACGTCTACGCAAATGTGTGAAGTGTACACTCGTACAAATCCGTACAAGGAATGCAGTGGCATTGCTCTGTTGATGCGCACCATAATAATACCACTCATTTAGAATAATTAATTTATCAAGGAAAACCACGAGGAGTGCAATGACTCCTTTTCAGGAGGATCCTGCAGCATTGCCATTTTATATGAAAATGTTTTCAGATGGAAAGTGTTTTCACACTATCCCCATACAGATGGAAATAGATGGATATTCGTCAGCTTGCTGTATTGCCTTAGGGTGTCGCACATCGACTCCCGCCACAGGACGGGAGTTTCACATTTGTGTGTGATCCAACAACCCTCGCCTCCACAGTGTTGAATTACAGGTGTACGCTGCCGCCACATCACTTGCATGACAGTAGGTTAACGGGTGTTCAGTGGATACGAGTCTAGGTTATGATTCAGGGTGGAGGTTGTGGCTGCGTAGTAGCTGTCTTACCTGTAGGTATGCATCGATGCATTGTCACATTTTAGGGTCTAAATGCGATTCAAGAGTCAATATTTTGTTTAATTTTACCGTATCATTCGTGCTGTTTCGTTCACTCCATTAACCTAAATGTAACAATCTCTCAACATTTTGCGTATAGATGTTTCCACTGCAGGCAGTGATGGACACATGTAAGATGAACAAGAACAGGAAAATTTTAACTGTGTTGTTAGGAAAAATGGAAGGAACAGGAAAGACAGGAAGACCTAACAGAGAATGGCTTGACGACATAAGAGATGGGTGCCAGAAAGATGTGGCACTACTTGAGCATATTGGCACAAAACAGAAGAAAGTGGAAACATATCACTAAATGTGCAGTGGATACCTATGGGCTATTTGCCCATTGATCGTGATGATGATTTTTCCACCAGCATTTGTTTAGGCAGGCCAACTATGGATCACTTTTCACCATCTGCGTCTCATCAGCATGTCTCACTCGGATAATCTGTATTCAGACCACTACCAGTGAATTAAAATCACCAATTATTATCAGAAGGCGAGTCCATTGCCTTGTTAAATTCGAGTTGCAGGCCACCGCTGCTGATCACTTACCCTCCCACCAATACAAGCCATTTGTGATTATCGCAAGACGTCCTGGACAGCATGGAAGAGCAGGCCAAATACCATCTGCAGGGTGATTACAGCTCCCCCGAGTAGAAGACTTCTACCAGCAGTGGCATGATAAAAATATTTCAGGGCGGCACCTTTACATATTCATTTTTTTTTTTTACAAATTGGGTATATGCGTACGCATAACTCGTGCGTCCTTGTGTTGTTATGTAGATAAAGGACTGTGTGTTGAAAATCTTTATGGATCGAGGAGGCAGGTGCCACGAGTGTGCACTTGTTTCTTGACCTGGCTCCTGACGCTGACGGTGACTGGCGCGAGGCCCAGTCTCTTTCCCCCAGTGCTTCTGAGCCAGCCAGAGCCGAGAGAGAGAGAGAGACTGTCACCATGATACAGAGGGCTATAATCTTCACTTCATCTCAAATTGTCCATCTCCTCCTGCTGCTCATCCTAATCAGCCATGATCATCAATGTATTGCTGGATGACGGCCTCCCCAAGCTGTTGCCATCTCTCACGGTTCTACAATGTAACAATTAACCCAGCACCTGCACACGGGCATATTTCATTGATCCATCTCCATGGTGAATGTCTTCTCTCGCATGTTTCATTCCTTGGCTGCCACACCACACTATTCCTGATCATCGGCCATCATTCCTGCTTTGCTTTTCTTCTATAAATCACAAAATATGCTACACTTATCCCACGCTCGACTAGTGGTCAATATTATCAACTTTCTTACCATCATCTTCTGGGTTCAGAATGTTATTATTATTTTTATTATTTTATCTCCATTCTACGTGACTTTACCGAAAGAACCCAGAATAAGAATCCCTGCAGTCACGAACACTTTCAATCGAAATTTCTTACCATCAAATAACGTATTTTTTTGTTTAACCACAATGTGGTCTTTTTGCTAACTCATAAATGCTGCTGGCAGCTTGAATGTGGTAACATTTTATTTTAAAAATGTTGTAAATGTCGGAGTGATTTGGAAGGCAACGGCGATTGATGAGATGGGGAAATAAAATGGCAACAGTGGGAGAGTGGGGGACGAGAGATCATGAAATAAAATTACATATTTTGTTCACAATTTTTGAAAATACGAGTTGTTATGAAAAAATGTGTTCATTAATCTTCAGCATTGAAAGAACTGTGAACGGTTGGTTTGGTTTGTCCACAGGCAATGTTTTAATTTCTGGTGATTGAGAGGAGTGATCATCTGGATCTAATCCCATTTCCAAATCTCTGTCAGATGCCGCTTGCTGTTACCAGGCCCGGGAGTATCCCATCTGCCGGGAGGCATGTGAACAGGTCAGTTGTCCTCGTACACGCACAGCCGCACACGCGGCCACTGCCTTTTGTTACTATGTTCTGTTGCCCCTTCACAAAAAGCAATGACTGAAGCCGGTTTTGTCCCTCGTTCCCATTTGTGTGCCTGTGTTCACGCAAGGTCATTCCTCCTGCGACCATAAAAACATTGCAGAAATAGCTTTCATGTCGCTTCATCAATTTCCATAATTGAACCGGTAATTTGCTCATGCCAATATGCTCATCACACGCACTCTGACCCCTTCTCCAATTAGAGCATCCTGCAGGCCGGCTCCGTTTAATGGCTTTCCTGTGTGCGGCCATGTGGGAGCCCGTAGAGCTAACATTACTCTGTCTCATCAGGATGACACATCCTGCCTCCCTCCCTAACCCACACTCGCTCTTAATTGACGACAAATGTGCAAGACCTCCGTTGTGACGCAATGGTATGTGATCGCTGGCCATGAACACGTTTTTTTAATTTGAAGCATTTGACTTTGTTATTTTCCAATTTTGTTCACAAAATACTGTGCCTCTTTATTGGGCATCGTCGTGAAATGCCAAGGTGATGTCTCACCGTTGGGCTTTGCCGCAGCGTGTCTATTGCTCTGAATCTGATTATGTTCTTTACCATGAATCATATTGCCCAATTTTTCTTTTTCAACAGCTCACATCAACCAAGAGCGACTCCAGGCTGAGGCATCTGCTGCACCGGCTGCCAGGATACTGCCCTGATTCCATGGTGCGTGCCGCACATGATGCCTCCAATCCTCCGCCTGGCTTTGTCACTGCAGCCTCTTTAGCACATCCAGTGTTTGTTGTTTCTTACTAAAATTCAGGGTTCCACTGTTTTTGCCCCCCCCTCCGCCCCATTCCACACCCCATCCCAAAAACAGACAGAAAATAAACCAGGCCATATTTTTTCGACTACCCATAGAGTGTCCGATATACACATATGAATTAGTTATATGTGGTGGCACGACAGCTATTAATGCAAGCAGCCTCGTAAACTTGTTATGGCTATACTGGAAGTAATCACCACTGTTAAAAAGCCAGGCACTTGTTCGATTTGAATTGTATGTTATGGTACTGTTGACCATGACGAATATAAAGTGTTATTAGCGTTCACAATACGTTGATGATGCCTGCTTCATCCTATGGATCCATGGTTGCTGTTGGATTAATTTATATTAACCCTAGACCATGGTAGACACTACAGCATGCATGGATGGATTTTGTTTTTCAGTTATATTGCATTTTAATTTAGCCATGGCCACATTTGCAGCTAGATAGGATGTCAATTAATCAATACATTCTATTTTTTTTCCTTGGTTCTTCCGGTAAAGTCACGTAGAATGAGAATAAAATAATACATTGATAAAATAAAATAACACAATAATATTCTCACGACGTTTCGGCCACAACACAAGCAGCCTTCATCAGGTGAAGGGACGAGACTGTCTGGTAGGACAGCGCTGGAGTGAAAGAGCCACGTTCAGATCACGGCTTTTAAGCTGTGTGAGAGGAACAAAGCGCCTTGACAAAGGAATTAGCATATATTTCAACTTCAGCACCCATTTTTTCGCCATATAGCATTGTGATATATAACGACTTATTGTTGGTAGCTTAGCTGATTGGAGAATATAGAGTTTATTGATAACATGAAGGTAATTTATATTTTAGTTTTTATTGGTTCACTATATAGTACTGTGAATAGCTCAGATGTGTAGGCCTTGACTTCAACATAGTCATTTCTGTGACCAGTCACTAGCTAATCACTCAGTTATTTCAATGCTAAATTCGCTTAGTTATTTCAATGCTAAATTCTCCTGTTTGATTTGTACTAAGTGCCTCGGTGAATGTGTATGGTCTGACTTTAACGTAGCTATTTCTGTGAGCAGTTACAAGCTAATCACTCAGCTATTTCAATGCTAAATTCTATGCTAATTCCATTGTCAAGGGGTGCCTCTGCGGATGTGTATGCTTTAACTTCGCTATTTCAATGCTAAATTCTATTCTAATTCCATTGTCAAGGGGTGCCTCTGCGGATGTGTATGCTTTAACTTTTAACATAACTATTTCTGTGACCAGTCACAAGCTAATCATTCAGCCATTTCAATGCTAAATTATATGCTAATTCCTTTGTCAAGGCGCTTTGTTCCTCTCACACAGCTTAAAAGCCGTGATCTGAATGTGGCTCTTTCACTCCAGCGCTGTCCTACCAGACAGTCTCGTCCCTTCACCTGATGAAGGCCGCTTGTGTTGTGGCCGAAACGTCGTGAGAATATTATTGTGTTATTTTATTTTATCAATTTATTATTTTATTCTCATTCTACGTGACTTTACCGAAAGAACCAAAGAAGATGAATCATTGCAGTCACGAAAGCTTTAAATCGAAAAATTCTATTTTTTATTCACTTATTCAGGAATTGCCTGTAATGGCATGGCATGTGATGCTAAAAAACTATAAATGTGTCTCTCTTGTTAGTTGCTTTTTAAAAGCCAAATCATAGACTTCCTGTGCTTGAATTTACAAGAGACACAATAATACTTGAAGTCCAGATGGCTGCCTAGCCAAAGGAGGGAACATGCCAGAGAAGGCCACCTTCCATGGAGATGGAGCGATGAGGTCAGCTCGAGTGCAGGAGCTAGATCAGAGGTCGACAACCTGTGGCTCTGCAACCGCATGCGGCTCTTTAAGGACTGCATTGTGGTTCTTGAAATTTATAGCTTTTTTGTTTACCTAATTCGAAAAAAATGCCTCTTCTTGTTATTTTGGTTCCTGACCCCTGACCACGGGAGTCCATTTTACCATGGAAGTCCAGTTTACCATGGAAGTCCTGTTTACCATGAGAGTCCAGTTTACCATGGAAGTCCTGTTTACCATGAGAGTCCAGTTTACCATGGAAGTCCAGTTTACCATGAGAGTCCTGTTTACCATGAGAGTCCAGTTTACCATGGAAGTCCAGTTTACCATGAGAGTCCTGTTTACCATGAGAGTCCTGTTTACCATGAGAGTCCAGTTTACCATGGAAGTCCAGTTTACCATGGAAGTCCTGTTTACCATGGAAGTCCTGTTTACCATGAGAGTCCAGTTTACTATGAGAGTCCAGTTTACCATGGAAGTCCAGTTTACCATGAGAGTCCTGTTTACCATGGGAGTCCAGTTTACCATGGAAGTCCTGTTTACCATGAGAGTCCAGTTTACCATGGAAGTCCTGTTTACCATGGAAGTCCTGTTTACCATGGGTAGAAGTTTGCAACCTGCAGCTCCGGAACAGCATGTGGTTCTTTAAGGACTGCTTCGTGACGCTATTTATTAAGGACCACCGTCTCGTGTTCGCGTTCATTCAGGCTCTTGAAATGTTGAGTGTTTTACCGAATTCGAAAAAAATGGCTCTTCATGTTGTTTACTTTGCCAACCCCCGATCCAGATGGATCGTTGCATATGGTGACTGAGTTGGGGAGATGTTCATGTGGCAGTGGACACATCAAGGTTAATGATGATTATGATGATGAGACGGGTGTTAAAACTGACGACATTTTGGGTACACAAATATCTCATTACAAATAGTAAATCAGGCACTTCAGGACGATGTATATTTAACTAGACCACCGATGATGTAGAACACGCAATATGTAATAATTGTGATTAATATTACTGTCACAGTTACTAAATTATGTTTGCTTTCAAGCTTAGGTCATGTCATTGCTGTCCAAATAAAACCTCCACTTAAATGAGACGTTACAAATCATTAGACGTAAAAATATACTGATCTCATTTGAAATGTAGTCCACAGACGACTATGAACCAACTTGGCAATGTGAAAGAAAGGAATCCTCGTCTCAAGTGTCAGTTCACCACTGTGAGACCACCTAGCCAGCTCAAGTAGCAATATACAGCAACGGTATTTATGTAATCATATCTACGAGCCCTTACAAAATAAAATTTCTTATTGCAAATTCCAAATCAAAACACTGTCACGGGAATTTCGACTGTTTTGCAAGCTGCCAGGAATGTATGTACACTTTTACCCTTACCGTACTTTTAATGTCTTTAAATAACTCGTGCTCGTAATGTGCATTTTACAACAGTGACACAAAACTAAAAGTATGTGGTTGGCCAGCCTGCCTGGCATAAAGACGTTGATGTTGGCATAGCTGCCGCAAAGTGTGCATGTGAGTGAGCTACACACACACACGCACGCGCGTGTTAGTTCTTCCTTTCTTTTTTGGCAGTTGTTCCGAGAGATTCCTTTGGTATCGGAACCGTCGACTCTGCGCGTATTGTTGACATCGGTGTTTTTCCTCTGTGTGCTCGCATGTCACGGTCACTTTAGTTCAGATTTACCAGATTCTTTTGAAGGTTGTACTGGAAAGTGTATAATTGTTACCATCTGCGCGCCTCCTTCGCTAAGAGCAGAGAAGCCTTGGTCGGGAATTTTTTTTTTTTAGAAATGCCAGTGGTGTTTTTATATTTCGCTTGTGGTCCCTTATCCCTGGTGCTTTGCCAGTGCCCACATGAAAGTGTCTTTGGGAAAGACGTCGTTTGGAAATTGTTGAAAAATCACACTGATGGAGAGTGGCTACAAGTCAGGCTTATTTTAACAATATTGTTTTTATATAATTGACCGTGTACACAACCTCGTTATTGTGTTGATATGCAGCATAATGGGGAATGGTACATGCAAGCAGAACACTGGTCTGTCTCCACAAATAAAACCATATATATGTTATAGCCCACCAGCCTCATGACCCTTCATATTTGTACTTATATAATGATATAACAGTTGGCTTTGTAGTTGTAGAGCACGGTATTATGGAAGCATTTTGTGCTTAAATCATTCTACATATGTCTGGCAATGAAATTTGGTTGCATGCTATTTCAAAAGCCGCTGAACTTGCAGCGTAAAAGTTGGTTAAAATACTCGTAGTTTTTTATTTTGCTTCGATTATTTATTCTAAAAATAGTCTACTTGTGCTCGACAAGTCCTCTTAATTAATGAGCAAGTTGAGAAGGCCTGGAGAGTGTTTACGTTCTAAATGGCTTGTCTTCAAAGTTGAAAGTAACTATTGTAGTTTTCAAGAAGTTCTTGTACAGAAAGGAGGAGGGAAAAACGTTGATTTGAAGCTCTTGAACCTGGCATTGGTTTTGTGCCATAAGTGAAAGGGGACAGGCTTGGATGGCCGTCCCTTGATCTTTATATTTGCCTCATCAATAGCACATTCAGGCCTTGGCAGTTTAACGAGAGGCCTTGCTGGTGACTGCTTGGAGCCCCTGGGGCTGTCACAAGTCTGGATCCTGTTACGGAGGGCGAGGGGTTCAGTGTAGCAGGGATGGAGGGGGGGGGGGCTGAGGTGGGGGTGACAGGGTGGGCTGGGGTCAGGCTTAGGGAGGAAGAAGAGGAAGGCTATACAAGGAGGAGGCGTTCACCGCTCACCGTGTTGCGCTGTTGTTGCTCACCCTGCGCTGTGCGGCTACGCGCACATCCCGTGCACGCTCTCCACACGTGCGCTCATCGACACGGATGGGTGCGCTTCGTAGGAAAATTGTCCTTCCCCATTCATCAGTGGTGGGAGGGGTGGGGGTCCACAGTCCAATCGCATAAGCAGACAACCTGAGGTTGGTACTTCGAGGGTTGGTTCAAACTGGCCCCTACATGTATCAGGTAACGGCCACAAAAAAAAACTGCACACAGGAGCTGCCCGCTTTACATACAAAGATAAATATTCCCCCAATAG